CCCCGCCGCCCTGCGGCACCGGGGGAGAGGCTCTGCACCCCGGCAGCCTGCCCGCTCCGGGGCAGCCTCCGCCCAGCCGAAGCCTGGGGGGTTGCGGGAAAGCCCGAGACCTACAGGCACGGAGTCACGGCAGAAAGCAGAGCGCTGGTACCGCGCTTGCAGCACTCTCTCACCGGTGGCTTGGAACAAAAATGAGCCTGACTCTCAGCCCAGCATGCGGCGAGGAAGATGAGGGATGCTGTTAAATGCCAGGCCCTGACAGCAGTGCTCTGCGGCTTGTTCTTCTTGTAGTGAATAGTACACTACTTAAATGGTAAAGAAGTCTATTTCATCCTCCTTCCCTCACTTCCCCACGCAGGAACGGCTCCGCTCCGCACGCCCCTGCTAGCTTTGTTCTCCCCCCAGCAGTTGCCTAAGAAACCACACATTTTGCTAACCGTATGTCCAGGCCTTCCATCCACGGGACCACAGCGAACAGCCCTACCATTACATTTTCCAGTATTTTTTCAGTATCAATCCCATACCACACAGATCCAATGGGACTGAAGCATCAAGCTGTGGCAATCGTTCTGCACATAGCTCACCAGCACGACTGGCAACAGAGCCGAGCACCTTGGCAAGCGTCGGTTCTCTTGGCAGCACGCGCTCTCCAACGACGCCTTCATAAATGAGGATGAGTGCATCTTCTGGTCAGAGGCAGAATTTGGAAACGAGTCTTTTAAAGAGTTAAGCAAAACTATGGAAAGCTAAAGGCATTAGGAAGGGACATATCCGCTGGAACTGAGGTTTAGCCAAGCATATAAAAAAACCCCACCAACCTATAAAGGTTGATATTTACTACCTGCAAGAGACTGAAATGTCGAGGTGAGGAAGCAGAAGTATGAGTATCCCTTGCAAGATGACACAGCACACTGGTCTACTGCAACAGCTCGGCATAACACGGAACCACGTGCACATGGCATTAGCAAAACATTTAAACATGACCCAAATTCAGCCCCGTAGCTATAGAAAGTATACAAAATCAATTTTACTTCCATATTTTAACTGGATCTCAGGCCAGTCCAACAGAATTTGTTGGGTTGTTAATTTTCTTAATGGACACACAGGGAGAAAATACATCTCCTCCAAGCCCTGTACAAACAGTAACGCTTCCAGATCAGTTCTGAGAAGCTTTGAACAAAGGCTACGTTTGCCTTTAAGTACGCATACTCCCTCAGAACAGCGATTTTGTTCTCTAAGTTAAGACTCAAGGTTATATTGCACCTACTTATACTGTTTAATTTTTCCCTCAGACTAATTCCCCGCTCAGGGATGCAAATCAGAGCATCCAAACGGTCCCTGAATGGGTTAGGTCCTCCTCTTGTTTCCAAGATCTTCTGTATTCCTGAAGGAAAGTAATAAAGTTTAAAATACGTACCTAAAAGTAGGATGCAACTAAAGCATAACAAAAAAAAAAAGAAAAAACCAAACCCAAGACAAACAGAATCTTAACCATTTTGTTTAATGTTGTACAAAAAAAAATTTGGTGAGTATTACAATGAAAAGTGATTAAAACACTGATATCACATTGCCATCCCACTACCTAAACAGTTGAGATTCACTTCTCTATTCATACAATAGAAAGTTTAGTGGCCTTCAGGAAAAGAATGACATAAAAAAAACCCCTTGCGTCACATGTATTCTTTTCTCTACATTTTAAAGCTGTGCTCACAGAGACGGCTTCTTCTATCAGACTCTTCAGGTACACAGGAATTCAGTTGTAAATAAAGTTGAACCTAAAATTAAAAGGATTGCACCAAGTGAGGGATTTTCATTCTTTTTATTTAAGTGACATTTTGGAATGAATAAGCAAGTGTTTTGTTTCTGCTCTTGATAAGCCTCCATCTGACAGAACAAAAGTGAATTTTCTACTAAGACAGCTTTATAGTATAGCAGGAAGCATCACTTTTAACAGCCAATTCTACACTAGCATTGCACAACAGTCTCTTAAGATTGCAGAAGAACTAATTATCAACATTTCATCTCTTAAAGAGAGCTTCATAGATATGAAAATACCAGTGAGAGTTAGGTACCCCCACCAGCAACTATTTCACAGCATTTCTGCTATCGGGGGCCAACTTCGTACACTCCAAGGGTAATAACAGACGGACATACTCAACGGAACAGCTAATTCTTCTCAGCTACGTTTCCCAACAAACGGCGTTCACGCAGGGAAAGCAAGCATCCACCTCAACTTCCAGATGTCCGTCCTTCGGATGCGTCTGTTGCACTGGTACCAAACTGGCACTTGGCCGCGTAATAGCCAGTGTTTTGCTGGTACTCGGGAGAAAGTATCTGCTGTCTTTAGAACAGGGGGAGCGGGGAGCCCCCAACTGCCAAAATTGGGGGTACATAGAGGAAAAAAAACGCAGCACGACACAAGCCTGTCATGGGCAATACCAGTGCTGACATTCTGCTAACAGACGTTTTTCATCAAAGTAGGTGGATGACAGAGCTATTTCCCTGAGGAACAGCTGACAGGCTGTGGGATGCCTGGCATTCCTGAACATTTGCTGAAGTAACAGAAACCAGTAAGACTAGTGAGCTCTGGAGACCTGAAGTACAAGCCATTTTCAGGTAAGAAAGCCAAAGAGCGTGTACATTGGGAAAAGGAAGGAAAAAATACAGCTCTCCCTACAGATACTTGTGTTATAAAAACGCCACACGTTATGAACTCTACTACACAGAGTCTAAAAAAAAACCCACCGCATTTAATCGGCACAAAGCTGTGATAGCATGCACACCTAATTCAGTGCCTCAAACACGCATCTTGGCTTTTACTCTCACACGGGCCTAACGCTTGCAAGAAGCTGTTCCTTAGCCTGTGCACAGCTGCATCCCCACTGTCTTTCACATCTTCCTTTGCTACAACTGCTAGATAGGACTTCGGTGCTAGCGAGTTGCGATCGGTGCCTCTAAATCGTCCATCACATCTTGTCTGAGGTAGATTCTGAGCTCTTTGGGATAGCTGCAACCTTTTCACAGCTGGTTCTGTAGTGCCTAGCCTTGCTCTGGTGTCCCACAGCAAATGTGTTCCCAAGAACTATAATACAAATAAAGCATAATATACCTGCTCAAAAGTTGAGGAAGGCTGGAAATAATGGGCCCATATCCTGGTGCATTGTCATAGAGCTCAAACAATGGTGCAGCGACCAGCTTGTAATTTTTTGGGACTGCAAACAAAGCTAAAAACAAATACAAGTTGATTAAGAAAAACCACCACACATTCAGCAGAGGTATCGCCGCCACCCCCCCCACCTCAAAACAAGATCACTGCATATAGCACTGCAGTACTAGAGTAGGTTTATTCCTTTTCTAGTTAAATACGGGGGTCATGTGCTGTACATATACTGATGCAGGAGCAGGAATAGAAACTCACGTTCAAAGGATCACCTGCCTTCAAAACTGATATCGGCATTTAACTTTTGTAGTGATCAACTACAAACAACTGCAAGCATATGAACACAAACTTGCTACCACATTTCCTTGCATTTCCAAGCATTTAGACATTGTTATAAATACGATCCTTTGTTGCAAACAAACACTTACCCTTTTCTTGAAGCTGGACCAAGAAAAGCTTTTTGTGCTCTTTTGGTTTTGTAATATGAGCTGGGATATAGGGATACTGGAAGAAAAAACAACAAAAATTGGCTGTACAGAGCTTTGAAAATATTGTGCAATCTTAAGTGCTACTTTATAAATCATCAAGTGCTGTGCAAGCTTTCAACGTGTCATATATTGTTGTTTCATGGCATCAAATAATGAAAACCACTTTTATAAGAAAGTACTCAGAAAGGAATGCTGCCGTTGTCACAACTATTGACAGGATCCAAAGACGCACCAGTACTCACGAGCAGTTAAAACAACCCAACAAGACAGAAATGCGTAACAGCAAACTGAGCAAGTATTTTCAGTATTAAAGCATTTAGAAATAAGGTAGCAAGACTATTTTATTCACAGGGCACCTGTTCCATATGCAGCAGTGCAAGAGTCTCCATTGTGGCTAAAACAGGAATTTACATGGTGTGTCTGGCTCAGCACAGGACCAGAAGCTATTACATCCAGTGGTTTCTCATCCACCAGGACGGGTGTGAGGAGGAAGAGAGGAGTTTCCAGAAGAAAAAAGTGTGTAGTTTCTCCTCAGCCATAGAAAGGAGATGAAATAGGTAAAAACCAGAAAAACTAATTTTGCTCATGCAGCAAGTACTCAAAAAGCCCAACTGGTAGGTTGAAGGCTTTTGGAAGAACAATCAGTACTTGACTGAAGAAGATGAAGTCAACGTGAGTACTCACCTGTGGAGGTTCAAAGTTCGGTCTCCACCAGTTACCAATGCAGTCATCAATCACCCAGTCTTGCTGAACACCATCCTGACGACCCAGTATCTACCAAAAATCCAGTTACAGTCAAAGCTCTAACTACCCCAAGTCAATTTGTTTAGAAAACATACACTGGAAGCATGAAGACTTGCTGTAATAAGGGTCTGATGCAGTCCAGAACTGCTCTGGAACAGCTTTTAATAGCTTTTTAGAGTATTTTTGTACAAAATGACATTTTTTAGTAAAAGCCTCACCTGACAGGACAAGGACACTTTCGAGAGCATTTCAAATTCCATGCTGTGTTCGGCTGAACCGAGTCCCGTCAGACCAATGGGAAGAATGAAATGCATTGTTACGCTACCTGACAGAATTAATTTAGGTTACTTGGAGAGCATGGAAGGTTAATTGGTGCATTGGGAAGACTCTCTCAAAACCAAGTCCTCGTCAGTTCTGCTCCGCAACATATTTTATTGCCCATCTGCACGCTCACTCGCCTGAAGCCAGCCAAAAAGCAAAGCTGCAAATGAAGACAGGACTTGAGCAGCAGGTCGGGGGTCAGCCACTAGACCACTCTGTCGCACTCTCATGATGCAGATTAATGAAAACTTACTGCTTTATTTGTTAACTACCTGAGAACATCACAAAAGCATCAAAATAACAGAAGCGATAAGGAGACTACTGTAATGCTTTGGCTTATTCTGTCAACTCTAAAATAATCCAACAGTCCGGTATAGCAACACAACAAAATAAAACAGACCTCTGTCATTAAGCGTTTGAGCCCTTCTACCTCATCTTCTCCTGGATTGAGTTCACCACCAGGTCTGTTAAAATAATCAATGATGAAAGCTAAAGTTATGTTTTATTGCATGTAACAACTTTCACGTGTAAGTTTGGATGTGCTTCCAGGCAGGGAGTTACAAATTCATTCAAGGCCCCTAAGTCAGAAGTTCCAAATCTAACTTTGCTGAATTTGAAGACAGTAGGATAGCTTTCACCAAAACCATGACTAGAACGGCTACTGTATGTCCCTTAAAAAAAATAACTATTATTTAAAACAAAGTATAACAATATACACGATAATAAGTGGGACACTTAAAAGGTAAAGTTTTAGCAATAATATAAAAGCACCAGAAGTTGAACAAAGAGTTGTAAATACCGACCGTATTTGTTCTTATCTCAAAAACAGCACTCACTGAAGCACACAGGAAGCAGAAAATAAAACTCGTGGGGGAACCATCCTGCATTTGATGCAAGGTTAATGAAAAAAACTAAAAACACATTTTCATCACTACAGAGTTTTGCAAAACTTTTAGAGTCTAGCCTATTTTGTCCACAAACATCCCCCAGATCAAGATGTCAAAGAAGAATCTGGATATAAAATTAGATTTCACAGATACATGCACAAAATTGAGAACAAACAACATAAATGTTAAAAACATAACAGCAAGAACACAAGCAGGATAACTTGAGACAAGTCAAGCCCATCCAGTTTAAAAAAAGACAACAAGCACCACCACAACCATATGATCCAAACACTAAAATTTCACTCCAGCAGTGGTAACTATGAGATGAACTGAACCAATTTTCTCAAATTCAGATGCCTACCCTTCTTGCTGTCCCCAGCTCACCCAGTAGTTTGTAAACAGATATCATTCTGCATTTACTAGGGTTTATTTCTTGAGCCCCACTTTACCATTTTTGCAGCCATAGCATAAGAATATGTAAGCACAACAGCATTTATAATGTAAGAACAAAACACTAACTACTGATAATGAGTTTTAAACAGGATTTTACCATAGTGATGCACCATAACTAAGATTTCCAGTCGGTTCAAAACCATCACCCCACTCTTGAGCAGAGTCAGACAAATACATTTTAGATGAAAACCCCACCATTCAAAAAAGTTTTCCCAGACTAAGTCTTTGCAAGAAATGAATCACACTCAAAACATCTATCAGTCAACCACACTTTAACCTCTAGCCCACGTGTTTAGTGGTCTGTGACAATGAAGTTAAACTAAAAGTTACATTCAAGGAACAGACACTTACAGCTTGAAAAAAGTTGTACCCAGCTGCAGTAACAGCACGTGGGGCAGCCTGTGCTCGTGTACAATCAGAACCCCTTCCACTGTCCGCCTCATGCCAATCTTGTCAAACTCTTCCCTCATGCGCTGAAACCGAGCTGCCACGGAACTGTCCTTCTCATACAGGGGTTCCTTTGTACCAAATGTGTAATTTGTCAGAGGATACCTGTAAGGGGAAGAAAATATGTTACAATATAATAAGAAATGTAAATTTAAATCACTATGACACAGCATCCACCCTGAGGCAGAACCTTCTGTGCTTGGTGGAAGGGTGACTCATTCATAGCACTCGTCTAGAAGTTCTTGTTTGTGACTTATGGGGCCCCTCTTGCAAGATCTGCACTATGACGCACACAAGTGCGGAAAGTCCTGCTGGTCAACATGCTAGCGTGGTGCTGATTCAAAGGGAAAGAAGCCCAGAAGAACCAGCAGCAATTGTTAGTCAACAGCCACCCTCTTTGATCTCCACGCTGCAGAGAAAAGGCAGCTGAGGCTCTGAGAGGAGCTGGGAAAGGGACAGGAGAGAAGCTCTGCTGGGAAGGATGGAAGCTGCACAGGACAGCGGGGGTTTTTTTCTGCAGAAGTAATGAAGAGTCTGAGAACTAAACTGTTAGAAGTGGTTTTGTTTTGAAGTGGGAAACGAGACATCTGGATCACAGAAGAGAAATGCTGAGTGTCAATAAGTGCAGGGCCTGCGGTAAGATCAAGAGTTCAAGCAGATCACTCTGTTGGGCCAGGTGCTGGACCTCTGCCTCCTCTAGTGACAGCATAGTGGAAACTCAGGAGAGTTCTCCAGGTAAGAGGGACTGAGAAGAGTCAGAAAAGAAAGCTTAGGCAAGAAATCGGTCAGCCCTAGAGAGCACAGAGGGCAACAGGAAAATGTTACTGTACAACAAAATCCAAGCAACACAGAGATCTGACAGCACGAGGCCTCGAGGGAAGACAGGATCATCAGGCTATGTCAAAAAGTGAGAGGAAAATGGGTTCTGGGCAGTTACCAGTTATCACTGGGGTTTTATTGACTTGTGGCATACAGCAACTGAATTAATGGAATAAATGACTGATTTCATGGGGAATGCTTTCCTTGAGACACATCTCGTCATGTATTCTTTCCCCAATACTTAAACATATCAAACTTGAGTAGTACACATTCTTCCCACCGTCAAATTTTTCCTCCCCCCCCAAATATTCCTCATTTTTTATAGCGGAGAAATCACAAGCCAGTGGCAGTCGTTAGAGCCCTTTCTCATGTACACAAGTGAGACAAAACAACCAGTGTCCTAACGGCAAATACCTTTATTAGCAAGCTCCCCCCCCCCTTCACTTATAGCTTAGAATAATTTCCGGTTTTAGATACACAGATATCTTTATTAATAATCTACTACACTAATTCACACTATACTAATGTGAGTACATTAGTCTGTACATCAAAACCCTTAGCCTATACTTTTAAAAAAAATTATGGTGGTAACACAGCTCTCTGATGAGTCTTTTCTTCAGAAACACTATAAAAATATTCCAATCTCTGAAGTTCATATTTGAACTTCCATAAGACTAACTGTGAATAAGCTCAGCTATGCAAAAAAAAAAAAATACATGAGTCTGTGATTAATAGCTAAAACTGAATATCAGCTGTTACAGTTAACATTTGCTGTTTCTGCAACTTGATGGATGTACTTAGCAAAGAATACACCCATCAGAGTTTACTGGAAGAAGCTAAAGTATATGGCTTCTCATATAAACTAAGTAAATATTTATTAGCAAATAGCTTGTATCTATGACAGAAGTAAAGTTCTCTCTGGTAGCAGCCACTCTGAATTCAAATTCAAACACCAGGCACACCTAGCCACATCCCACTGACTGCACAGGGCAAGCACACATCCCACCCCGGCCAATGGCTCGTTCCTCTCTCTGTCGCCAAAGGCAGATGCCTGGGAAAGAGCACACCCGGAGAGAAGCGTACATGATGTTCACCACGTCTGAACACCCCGACTCTGCTACTTGGGGTTCACGCTTCCCGAGTCAGACGTTGCTCCCATATACTAAAGCATGTATACTAAATGCTGCACATGCCCCCGATGGCTGGGAAGCTTTCAGTGCCCACAACACCCTATAGTGTGGGGTTTCACAGCTTAACAGCACGCCCCGGGGGGAGGGGGGGGAGACCCTCGCCGGCAACCGGGCTCTCCCGCCGCTCTCCCCTCAGCCGCCGGAGGACCGGGGCCCCGGCCGGGCCGGGC